ACATGTATGTCTTCATTTATTTTGGATAACATTTTCAAATATTAGGAAGTTGTGTCATTGATTGCTGACTAAAGAAATTAAGCAGTAAAAGCCCAATCAGTATAGTGTCAAATTTTACTAAACACAGATCAAGTTAACAACGTGGCAGAAGGACATAACATTGAACGCTGAGCGTAATATTAAATACTAATCAGCAACATGGAAAAAGGACATAAGTCCTTTGTCCTCTTGTTTACTTCCCATAGGTTCTAATGGAGTGAACATACTAAATATATCTTCATAACCCCAGCTCTGCAGGTATATATAACCTTACCTGTTGCTTTATCAGAATGTCCAATTTTGAGGACGCAGGTGTAATGAGCAAATTAAATAGCTTGAGTCATGGAAGTGTAATCAGTGTTTTGAAGATTTTTATCACCCCATCACTTAAGTGGATGAAGGTTCAGATTATGTTGGAACTTTCATAGTACCTGTAAGATAGAAAAGAAAATGTCCTAGTAGAATTAGAAAGATCAAAGGAGAACCTATCAAATGAAATAGGCAAGAAAAAAATTCACCTTTTCATTTTGGCAAAGCCAAACTTGGTCACAGTTGAAGTGTGATATGATTCACTTATTGACCAGATTAGCAGTTCTCATCACTAAGTTAATTCACGCTGAGTGTCATCCACATTATGATCTATCTAATTAAATCCTATTAATACAAACATATAAAGTGGAGGTAGAGTTTGAAAATACTAATAACTTAAAAAACTACATTGTTCATCTCTCAGTTATGTGGGGGTTTAAAAAAGACTATTTCCTCTAGTGGGTTCATGTATCAGCCTTCAGCTATGTTACTTCTGTAGTTATTTCAACTGAATCTAAGAACTTTATAAAGATTTTATTTTTAAATAAGTAATTGTTAACCCTAAAATTGGCTGCAAAAGCAATTTAGTCTGTCAGTACACTGCCATTCACCCACCCTGCCGAAAGAAAACTTTGCAAGGAAATACTACTTTTACTAAAGTTGTGTCAGTGGAGTTTAACATTACTTTTAGTTAATAATATCAGAATAATATTATATGGAAATATTTTAAAATATAGATGAATTGGGATTTAGAGGTCAAATATTAAGTCAAATTAAGTTTCAAAACAAATGGAATAAGCTGTATATGAACTCTGAGGTCAAGGCTATCTATGTACATTTATCCCTAATATTTCATATATATATATGCACACCTCATAGGCCTTACCGAATATGTCTCTAAAAATGAATTCCTCCCATTTTCCATTTTAAAATCTAAATGGTGACGTTTACGATGATAAAGATAATGTGGCAGACTTCTTAGTACATTTTAGAAGTATCTATAGACACTTCATTGAAAATAAACTAGTGGTAAATTTAATTGACATATCTAGTATTTTTGTGACTATTTAAAAGATCATTTCAATTGTTGCCAATACATAAGCTTTGCTTAGAGGGTAGGCTGGGAGGTTAGCTCAGTGAAAGAGAGCAAGTTTAACCTGCATGAAGCCCTGGGTTCAATCTCCAGTACCAAAAATATAAATAAATAAAGGGTACTGTAGGTCTCCTTTTATTTCAGGTAGTGGTTATAAATGCAAATACAAAAGCCAGCATTGTGGTATGTTCATAAATAACTAAGTCATAAATTCACTCTAAAGTCATGATATAGCAGTAGGTACATCAAGACAAAATACTTTCACAAAGAAATACTCCATACCCTATAAATTATCCACACAGGATGGAATTAATTTGGCAATTTAAAAGAACATGGAAATTAATCTGAAAATATTATTTCCTTTTCTGTCTTGCCTTTTGCTAGCTTCATAAAATAATCCAGAATTGTTCATTTAAAAGCTCCTTAAGTTCTATAAGTACCAAATATATCACAAAGCATACTTTATCATGAAAGTTCTGTGCATTTATAAAATAAAAATAAAGCTTTCCAATCCCTAACCCCTAAAGTGCTAAATAAAAAATAAGCAAGTAGTTTTGCAATTATATTACTAAAAGTGAGATTACATTTATGAAACTTAAATTTCCAGAATTCATATTTGTTATTATTTTGGTGGTCTTTAATAAAGCAGTTTTTAAATTCATAAAACAAAAAGAAAGAAGCATCCTTTTCAAAATACCCTATGTGAATTAAATTTTCATCTCAAAGAATTTGCATTGGAAATGTATCCACATCAGAAGAAGTCATTCTGTCCATGATTCAATATGGCGTTACATTAGAGTCCCTCACTCACGTGTACTGTAGGAGTACAGTAACAGGAAACAAGATCTGTTCCTTCTTGTCCAGCTAGACCGTTGGCCTCAAAATTGGAGGTTTCAGTGACAAGAGGAATCTTAACAAATATTAGTTAAAAAATATGCCAAACAGAAATATTACTGATGCGGGGGGCATAGACAAATTGTGATTTCAAAATGTCATTGCTTAAAAGCTAGAAAAAAGTGAAGGTTTTCTTAATATTAGGGATAGGGAATATTTTGAGAGTCAGGAGATCCACCATAAAAATCAAGAAAATAATTGAGTCGTATAACTTAAGATTTTGCTGTTCTTTTTAAAAGAAATACACAATTTCTACCTATCCTTTTAGCAAACAGAGATAAGTTTAGTCTATTAATGAAATGAATAATTTTAGCAGCTGTGAGTATTTGGACTAAGTGATGATACAGGAAGTTGTGAGCTACAAACGAGAGAGGTAGAAATAGGGGACTGAGCAGACAGGAAGAAAGACCATGCTGAGACTCTGAAAGTGACTTGCAAAGAGTTAAAACACATAAATGTGACATTCACAGAAGTCAGAGATAGACTTTCCTGCAGCTCTTATCACTGTATTTTTAGAAATTTCCTGTGCCTTAGTCGTACAGCAGCAGCTTTTGGGCCGTTGCTCCTGGCTTACCTGGTTTGCCAATACATTCATACTTTACATTCATAATGCGCATACCCAGACACACAGTTGGTCAAGTGGGGTTCAGTGAAGTATCTTTATACTTCTTCTGTTTGCCTCAAAAAGAAACAAATTATTTAACATTACATAAAAGCTTAGCTTTTAAAAATTTAAGCGGTTCTCCAAGGCCTGTTTTATTTCCCCATAGTTTCAGTAGACCAAGATATTTCTATCAGATTCCTCAGCCAAAACTTTAAGTGTTTTAGCAGTGTGTACAATGTTATACTGGTCACGGAACTCAAAATAAAATGCTGTGTGAGGTCCCTAACCTCAGGGCTTTGACTTAGAAAGTGCTTGTGTATGCACTACAACAATTGACGTCCAAGAAGCCCTACCCATTAGGTGTCCCATCCCAGCGTGACTGGCCTGAAGCGGGAGCTCAAACTGCAGTAGGCATAGGAAACGCCTGGGCTGCTTGTTTAGGCACACATTCTTGAGCTCTATACCCAGAAATTCTGACTGAGTAGATGAAAATTAGGTCCCAGAAATTTGTGATTCACAAGGACACCTCAACCCCACTCATAATTCTGTAGCCAGAGGTATGGCCACTACCACTTGAAGGGATATACTGTGTTCTTGGGATTTAATCTTATGCTGGTATACACAAACTGGTAGCCACTTGGAAATAGTGATTCTCCTCTGTCATGCACTATGCTAAGGACTAAGATGTTTCCAATTTCTTGGAATAAAATTCAGCAATCTGACTTGATTAGCAGGGTTAAATAGGTGTTAGGGAATCCGCTAGAAAGTATTCCTCTCATATAACATTGTTTCTGCAGGGAAATAAAGGGTGTATTCAAAACAACTTACAAAATATCTGAATTGCATAAAGAAAGTAAGTACAATTTATCTTTAGGAATGACCTAATATCTGCTGTTAGACTGCCTCTGATTTTGCCCTTTAAAATTCTATGACTTAATGAAACAAAGTGGTAGAAGCTGAAGCCAGCCTCCCAGGATTATAATCTTCCAAAATATTTTGTACTGTGTTTTATTTCATTTGATCTATACACAAGGATTACTTCTCAGCCCCTTTTTGTCCAGGGGGTATAATTTTGAACTATGCTACATCTGGTTTTCTATATACGAGTGTTATGGGCAACGTGTACTTCTCCTATTTTCTAGGGGAAGTAGTAACGAACAGCATGCTTTCTCTGTTCCCTCTTCCAATTTGTTTCTTCTTCTGGACACAGATCAAAAACAAGAGGATGTTGCAGATAAAATTCTGCCCTAGGCTACAAAACAAATATTGCTGATTTGTGTCTTCTGACAATATTTGCATTCATCACAATAAAATGAACTAAGAAAGAAGACTGCAGTTTACTTTATCCAAATAGTTCTTAGTTTCTGCAGTCATTCAGAAGTTTTGTTCTTTTCCAGTGTCTTACCTCCTTGGTACGTGTCTTATGCTCAGATGAAAAGTTACCCTTTCATCACATTTACTCTATAATAGCTTTTCATTTCCCTTCACTTTGTATTAATATGCAGCCTCTTTATCTGAGCAACACTAGGTAGGCTATTCTTTCTCACTGATCAGGAGATGGTAGCATTGATATCAGGGTAGAAAGATAAACTTCTGGTCACAAGACCAGAAAATCTTTCCTCATACTACTGCTTGACTGTAGGAATTTGAGGAAAGATCTTGTATAGGAATAAATTTTAAGTTTTTTTGCAAGAGTGATCATTTTGTATATGTATGGAGAATAGTTTTAACATGGACTTTTATGATTAAAATCATAGATGTGAATACACAAGTTTAGAACTGGGAAGGGACTTATCTACTTGTTATTATATATATTGGGAAGATTGGCATTTCAAACAACCAAAATAAGCAAAAAGTTTCCAGTTTATGGCCAAGTAGACTTGCATGCCAACAGAAAGACATTATGGTTATTAAAACCATATGCAGTTTTAGCCATAGTTTTTTCTATTTTCTCTTCATGGGTATTGCATGATGGCATTTCTAATACAAATACTAATATGCTTTGGAATAATGGCACTCGCAGGTCTTTCATCATATTGTATCACTGCTTTATCATATTAGGCTAATACACTGCGAGAGTTGGTAGAACCTCTCCATGCCAAATCGGATCCACTTCTGTTGGCACTCAACCCATTGGACTCACAGATTGATAAGCTAATGTTTAGAGAATTTAGATCGGAGAGAGTCGGCACGGCGCAGACTCAACATCAACCTCTTGCAAGCAACTAAAATGGCCTCGTCCTTGCTGTTTATAACAGAAAACAGACTTGTAAAAAGCTTAGATCATCAAGTGTTTTGGATTGGGGGCCTCCCTAAAGGGATGTTAAGAGGGGGCAGGCCACTCTTAAGAAGAATTCGAGCTTTCTACAGTGGGACTAGCATAAGATCAAAGCCAATCAAGATGGAGCACAGTAACAGAAAACTGCCTTTTCTGTGGGAGAACAGAAGGGGAAAGGGTCTTGACTGGGGAAGGGCTCTGTGATGATACCTCAGTTGTATTGTCCTGATACCAGGAACATAGAGTGATCAGCTCTGTTCACTAAAAAATCCTGGCTGTTTATGGACTCTTCGAAGGCCTCTTGAAGGCAAAGCAGAGGAAGCAAATTCTGTATTAAGTGTATTTTGCATTTTTAAAACTTGACGTGCTGTATTGTACTAAATTAAGTGTAATCTATTAAGGCAAGGTATACACAACCTGCCCTGAAATTTAATATGTTTAATCTACTATAAAGTGTGTTCAGGTGCAACACAGAAACTACTTTCAGTGACAATAATGAAGGAAATTCCTCATGCCAGGCTTTAATAGATTCCTCAGCTAAAATACTACTTTTCTCTTTATTCCTTGGCACTTGTATACAAGTGGTGTTACTTCTTAGGACGGGCATGAGCTATTCTTGTCTGTAAAATATTCCAAATCTATAGGCTGTGGTTTTCATTTTTGAAAAAGTATTTTGTCTGGATGTCTTTCAAATTAGCTTCAAATATTATTTAATACTTTGTAACTGGGTCCCCTATGGCTCAATATTGCTTCTTTTTCTTCTGTGGTGGATGTGAAATTTCCTTTAGTTGGATAAGATACACTGTACTAATTTCAATGCTAATTAATGGATATTTCATACTGTGCAATGAACAGATCATTTAATATTGTATTTTGAAATGTTTCTTCTTCCTGTCACTGCAGTGTGTAGTATTGCATATGTGAATACTTGTAAAAATATAAATTACTTAAAATAAAAATATGATCAATTGGTATTAGATCATTTTAGATAGCTAAATAATTTGCTGAGTATGCTTGATAGTAAATATCTTTCTAAGGAGAAGTAATCTATGCTTCTTTCTCACAAATGGAATTTGTGTTGTGAATAAAATCACATTGATCTGCCTTATAATTGCCTCTGCTCTAACCATTTAATGTTTTTAAGTATATCGACAAATGATGATTCTGGTATGTAGAAATCCATCAAGAAGCATTTTGTGGCATTTAATATTAATGGAATTTTCTTGGGTTGTTCTCCCTGTTTAAGTCATAGTAAAATTTTGCGATCTGAAGAATTTTAGTTTTTTCTGATTAAGAAATATGATGATTACATTAATTTTCAAATATAATCATCCCTTAGGTTGAGCTTTAAACTGTCCCCATTATGAATTCCTGCCTAAGAGCTAGGTACCTTGACTTCCATGTCTATTGGTTAAATTGCTAAATTCTGTGGGTAAATCTAAACTTTGTCATTTATGTTTGTGTATGAAGTGTATGTGTCCTTCAAGGAACCTCCCCTTCTTTGAGTCAATAAAACAATGCTAAGGACACCAAAGTTTTGCTATCTGAACTATTTGTCACAAAAAACTATTATAGTACCCTGAAAATTAAACCATTGCCATATATTTATTATCATTAAACCAGGTAATCTGAAAGAAATTATATGCTGAAAGAAAAAATATAGAATGAACTTTAGTTATCTCTCGTCACATCTTTATGGAAGTAAGATTTACTGTTGTAAAGGAACTGACAGACACAAACACAGGACATGCTTGATTTTGGTGAAACTTATGGTCATTCTTACAAATATGTGTTTTACCCATTCTTCTACAAAAAATACTGATGGAGCCACTGGAACTGACCTTTTAAAGGGGGATTCCTCCTTAAAATCAAATTTTCCATCATAAGATATGGCCTACTCTTAATGTTTGGGTGTTGTTACTTTGCCTAAAAGAAAATAAATTACTCTAACTATGAAACAGGTAGTTGGTTACAGAGGGAAGACTAAAAAGTGGCTTTTAAAATCATATGCTATTTTGGTATACCAAACTGCCCTCCTCTTACCCCAGTGTTACAGCAATGGACATAGCTAGTTGATTTATATAAAAGCATGAATTAATACAGCTAGTATTTAATTATGAAATATTTCAAATCATAGTTAACCCCTTGCCTATTTAATCATCTCAAGCATAAAACCTACAACATTAAATCCATTAAAAGTTGAATAATCACCTTACATATAAATAAGTTGTTCCTTGTGGCATACTAGTAAATTAGTATTCATGGAAAATATTCATATGGTCTCAATGCAAATGTTGATCGCCCTTTGTGACAAGAATAATGTTCCACATACTTGATATCATTAGCCTGGAAGACTTAAAGTACTCTGTGGTTATATGAGAACCAATGCCTCTCAGATTTGACTGGTGACTAATACCCCAGCCTTCTCGCCTGTTTGTGATTTAACCTTTCCCAACCTTCTGTGCTCATTACACAGCTGTGTTGTGGAAAGAACAACTGTTTCCACGAGGACATCATTTGTCCAATATTAAAAGAACACAATTCCCTTCCAAAACATGCACCAGAACCCATTACCCCACGTTGGTTTATTTCTTCAGGAGCCCAACTGGTATACAGTACTCATTGGTTTTATTCCTGTATTTCACTCTCCTTAAACAATTGCCATTACAGGGGCAGAGGAGGACACCAGAGTAAAATTTTAAGCCTCCAAGTTTTTGTTCTTAACTCTTACCAAAAACATATTAACATTGTAACAGGATAGACCGTACTAATTACACAGTCACCCAGTAAGGAGCCATCTTTGGAATAGTTTGTGTATACGGAAAACCAACACTCCACTTGAATTCGTTCAGTGCTTGGGGCCTTGTGCCAGCTAGAGAATGGGAAATGCAAACATGCATGACACAAATTCCACTCATGGGAAAGTCACACAGTGTAGGTCTCTGAAGAAGAAAACACAGGGGTGTAATGGGAAATGTGCACAGGATGAAAATCATCGGAATTTCTCCCTCGTTTTACATACCACCCTTTTGAATTTCTTTTTTGAATGTTTTATCCTACATTAATATAGAAGAATACATGTATGTAAGTTACCAATAACAGAAGTGCTTTAACTGATGAGGGTGCACAATCAAAAAAGTTTGGAACCTACTGAGCATAAATGTAGAGAAATATATCAAACAAAGACTTTGTCGTATTTGAGAAATACATCATCTCCTCATAAGCACTGTGCAAAATGTTGCAAGAAACTAGTATATTTCATTAGCTAAGCTTTTCTTTAAGCTTTTCTTTATCATTTACTGCCTGCAAATTGCATACAACCTATAGAAACGAAATAATAAGCTGTTGTGATGTGCTATGAATCTATATTCCTAGATTTACAATGTTTTATTGAATGGAATATAAATGAGACAGTAATGAGGATTTTCTTGCACCCTTGTCAAGTATAACACAGGCAAAAATTACCTTTTGGCACAGAATACAAATGAATTACTGAATTGTAGTCCTCGATTCTATCAGTCAGCAAGACTTTATATAAGAAAGGGGACTTTATATGCACTCTTCGCTTTAACAAAACCAGAATAGAAATGTGAGATCTGACACAGGACTAATTTACATGTTGTATGTGTGAATATAATTTTGGGGAAAATTTATTCCCGCATAGGCCCAGATTTCCTGAATAAATTAGATAGAGATTAAAATACCATTACAGCACTGATACGCTTCCTCATTAGGAATCACAGAAGGTTCCTATATATGTCTTGTCATTTGAATGTAGTCTGCACTTTGACAACTTTCAGAACACATTCATTCAAATTGTAAAAGAGCTGGTTTTCAGCCAGTGTTCCAGTGGCTGAACTGGCACATTGAAAGAAAGTCGGTCGGGAAGCAGACCTCACCAAATGCTTGCCTCGTCTCCCAAAGCAAGCCACTTCTAAAAGAAGAAAAGCGAGGGCTGAAAAGAGAGAGAAGCCTGAAGAGAAATGAAAAGGAGCTGAAGAAGAAGAGGGCAAAAAGAGAAGAACATAAAGGTGCTTTCATATTTTCAGTTGTAACAGTAGCCCCAATTGACTTATTTGGTATTCATCTGAGAAAAATGAAGGAAACCAATTGAAAATTATAAAAGAAAATAAAGGTCTGTTTTTGTCTTGAATGTTGAGTTCTGTGTTGTTTTGACTGTTGAACACAGTGAATCAGATTTATAATGTGACTCTGCCCTTCACCCCGCTCTTTTGAAAACAAAAGGACTCTTTGTCTAGTCTTAAAATGTTAAATAATTGGTAGCATTTTGTGATGGCCTGGCATCTCAGCATCTCAGTCCCTCATCCTTACCCATCCCACTGCTGTGTCTTGTGTAGTGTTGCATATGTGTGTGATCTGAAGGGGACTGAGGGGGCTTTCTAACCTCTGACAAGAGCCACTATCCCATTACCTTGGAAATGTTTCTTTGTTTAGTCCCATTGTGATTCCTTGTTCACCTGTGCTGCCTAGAGATAATCCATATTCAATTCTTACAGCTATCAAATTAGATTCTTTGTGGAATTACGTTGTCTTTTGGTTGAATGTTTTTTTATTATAACATCAAGAATGAAGGAAAAGCCTTTCAGTTATTTTAAATACTACTAGATGTCATTTTTACATGTTTTCACATATCCTTCTTAAAATAAAAGTACATTCAAAGTTTATAAAAATCAATCTTCCCCAATGTTTCACATTGTTAAAAGTTAGGGAAAAAGAAAATAGGGTCAAAATGTGTTTTTAAACAAAATATATACTCCCAACAGTGTTAGGTAATATGGAAACATGTTTTCTTTTTTGCTGTATGAAAATATTTTTGCCTCCTTTAAATCATCAAACTATAATCTGAATCCCTTTTGTCCTTAACCTTCTTTTGAAAACTGAAAAAGTAATAATACATTAGGTTACCTGATATGGTAACTACTAGATGTCTCATCTGTTAGGCCTCCCACCTCTATCCCATCTTCTACTCACTCTATGAAATTACATCTGGCTTTAGATGTAGTCAGGCTTTGATGCAGAAATAATGGTACTACTAAATAAGTCCTTGGGGTCTTTTCCTAGCCTACGGCTTTGTGAAATGGAATTATGCTATTCAAATGTGTCCTTGCTTTTACAAATCCATTTATTTACTTTAAATGACCATGATTTTGTGCCTTCCTCATTCCAAAGCATTCTTAGTGAAAATGATCTATCTTGTTTCAATCTTGCTTTTAACTCATAAAGCAGTTCCTCCTTTGTAAGGTCCTTCGTCCATCAAAATCCTGTAGCTGTTGAAAACACTGAAGGGTGAGCCAACAGGTGATAATTTAACAGGCTATAGATTTTTAAAAGATAAACAGATTATAGATTAAGGGGAATTTTTGATTTTTAGATTATAATTCTAACTTAAATATATGGTTAGAAAGTTAAGGTTTCTTATACAGAACTTAGTGATAGCATGTGTTCTTGAACAACAAGGAATTTTCTAGTGGAAAAAGTCAGTCATACGTACCATTAGTTGCTAACCTCAGCAGCAGAGCCAAAAGTTAAATAATACTTTTTGATCCTAAAGTTGATCCCTTCAAATTAAAGTACTTATGTTTTCAGCTTTGGGAGCAATTTTAGGTACATTGTTTTAAAAAAAAATAGAATGCTGCATTCAGGGAGTCTCCCACTAATTAGGACCTATTGTTAAACAGATACTTGAAATGATTACTGAAAAATTGGCAGAATAGAATTCTTGTTAAAATTATTATTTCTGAAGCCAGACAAGCCATTTAGAATTCTAGTTCCACCATTTATGAAGTACAACCTTGAACAAGGTGCTTCCCAGGTATAAAATGAAGATCAAATAGCTCTATTCTTAGTATTGTTATGAAGATTAAAGGAGATTGTGAACTTTAAGCATTTAACCTGCTGCCTAGCATATGTAAATGTTGACTAGTATCATTAACAAAGTGTGTTTTCTTGGAACTGTACCGGAAAGCCTAAAATTTTCAGAAGAACCATGGTAGAATTAATAAAATTCCATATTTACTCCTTGGGCCAATATAATAAATGCTCCTCAAATATGACTACTCTGGCTATCTATTAAAAGAAACATCATGTGGTCCTACCATGCCAAGTAAAATCCTAGTTTATCTTTGTCATATTATAAAACAAATTGATATGCTGATCATCCATGTAACATCAGTATTCAGATAATTAAAAACAAAATGTAAGTTTTATTTATTCACCTAGGTCAAAGGTCCTTACCTGAACCAGTGTCTAATTTTTTTCAAAAGTATTTAATTAGAGTACTTCCTTCCTAGGTCTTGCAAATGCTACGTAGCTTCTCTTAACATATGCCAGGCTATTTCTTTTTAGTTACATATAAATATATCCCTATATTTCATTTCAATTGAGACATTATGATATTGATGATAATTGATGATCAGTGACTAGATTTGCAATGTGCATAACTGTGACAGTCACATGAAAGCTAATCAATGAAGGAACTGGAAGATTTTTATAATTAAAATTAATTAGATATCATTATTGATGATAATTTATGATCAGTTACTGTATTTATAATGTGCCAGCCCTTACTGTGGCAGTCACATGAAAATCAACCAGTGGAAAACAACTGGAAGATTGTTATAATCAGATACATGCCACTGAATGCCATTTCATCTTATAAAGTCTGAAAAAATATGAAAATTAATTTAGTATTGATAAACCAAGAGAATTCTATTAACCAGCACTGCTCTGCTTACCCGTATAATGATAAGTGATATTCATTAATGTCATTAAATATTGAATTATGTGAAGGAGTATTTCCATGGGTACCTTTTGTACTCTAATTCTTTGAATTGAATGGAGTCAAGGTATATATAGTTATTTGCTATCAGAAGAATATTTGTTTAATCAAAGAATTATATTATTTGATCATTTAAAAATAATTAGAAGCCCATAGGTAATTTTACACTGCTTTCCCAATCTTTCATTACCCCAATTTGTAGATAGTTTGTATTTTTTAGAAGATTTTTCAGAGTACCAAGTAACTACTTTATTCAAGTAACTTTATTACACTGGATTCATCCCTCTCTCTCTCTCTCTCTTTCTCTCTCTCTCTCTCTCTCCCCTCCATTCTCCCACTCTCCCTCTCCCTCTCCCTCTCCTTCTTCTCCCAATGCTCTTTCTCTGTTTTGTTGACATTACAGGTGAAATTAGGGAAGAAAAGTTAGGAGACTCATTGCAAGATTTATACAGGGCACTGGAGCAAGCCAGTCTATCACCAATAGGAGATCATCGCATTTCAACCAAAATGGAATACAAGCTATCTTTTATAAAGCGATGTAATGATCCTGTAATGAATGAAAAACTACACAGGCTGAGAATTCTCAAAAGCACCTTAAAGGTAAGATAATAAGTGGTAGGAGAAATTCCTTTGAGATTTATTTCTGAACTGAAAGTGTATTACCAAACATTACTGGATAATACAAAATAAGAGACACTGAGGAGGAAGAGGTAAACAGAAAAAACTTGAAGCTAAGTTGTTCCTGTACCATAAGTGCAGTGGTAAAGAGGAAATCTTGTTAATTTTTCACTGAATGTGTCAAAACACTGCCTAAATATCATTTGACTTTGTTCTAGAAGAAAACAAAACCTGATTAAACTTCGTTTCCCAAAATGTAGAGCTGGTGTTATTCCTCAGTATTTTGATTTCTTAAGATAAATAGCCCATGTAATACACTTCTTACAGTTATTAAAAGAACACAGCATGTATGCAGGCAAGAGTGGATGCTAAAAGAGTTTGAAATACAGTATTTTGTTAGTATTTCCTGCATGAACTACAACACATTTGGAATAAAACCACAGTGATATGTGTTTCTTGTAGAAATTGTATAATTGTTCTGTTTGCACTGTCAGTTCCCAACTCATTGTTACGTTCCTATTCTACATTTCTGTAAATGCTTACATTGTTTGCAGTCTTCTTATTTAGGCCTCCCCCAGATTGGGAGGGAGGTGGTAAGCACAGAGGAACAAAGAGGCAGGAAGTTGAAGGAGGCAGACAAGTGAGCAGCCTTCACTGTGGATGTGGGTAGGGAGGACAAGGATGGTGGAGAGGGCCTACCACACACACTGCCTGAGCAGGTGCTGTACTCTTGAAAAGTCAAAAACAGGAAGGAACTATCATATAGAATGTCTTTCTTAAAGCAAAATGCCAAAGGGCTCCATTGGGATCTATTCCAACTCCATAGTATGTTGCTAAGGTTTTGTAGCTTTGAAATATAGGTGAGTATCAAAGAGATAAACAAAACAGTCATTATAAAGAAATGGCCCTTACCAGTAAAAATGAACTACAGAACCCTCTACTTCTGGACATAGAAAATTAATGGGTTATGGAAGGACAGTCGACTAAGCAATCCTGGCTATGTCTGATTCCAGGGATTTTATAAGCCACCCTCACCAAGCATAGGTCTTGGATCCCACCACGGGCAACTGCTAACGTTCTCATTCTCACCTGGCCCTATTCCACATCCTGTCTTTCCTCAGAGATCAGAAGCACTTCTTAGACACCATACTGTTTACTTCCTTTACCGACTCTGGCTAATACAGAGGCAAGCATGAAGAGTTTACCATACAGGAGAAGAAAAACACTGCCAGAATAACTCAAGAGATAAGATGCAATAAGTCCACTCAGTGGCAGGGATAGGATGTCTTAGGGGCATGAGGGAAGGAGAAAACTTTTTCCAAGTGTTTAAGGAAGGTATGATGAAATGAGAGGTTTTTGAACTGGATCTTAAAGCATGAGGAAGGTTTACATAGGCAGAGATGGGCAACAGAACAGGTCAAGAGAAAAAGTAAGACGTATCAAGCGGGTAATACAAGGTGTGCCTCGGAGTTAGAGTGAGGCACACGAGGGCTTGGGTCTAAATAGCTGAGTGTGAGTATACCAAAGGCATTTCTTATGGGCTTCTGAATCTTTTTGCCTATGAACTTTTTATTTTAAACCTAAATAAAAGTTTGTTCCCATGCTAACTGTTGAATTATTTTGCTTTTCAGGCCCGAGAAGGGGAAGTAGCCATTATTGATAAGGTCCTAGATAATCCAGACTTGACATCTAAAGAATTCCAACAGTGGAAGCAGATGTACCTCGACCTTTTCTTGGATATCTGTCAAAATACCACCTCAAATGATCCACTAAGTATTTCTTCTGAAGTAGATGTAATCACTTCCTCTCTGACACACACTCACTCGTACATTGAAACACATGTGTAAGTGGCTTCTGCGTACAGGCTATTAATACCTGCTGGTACTCTGAACAAATATTTAAGGTAGTTTTTATATGAATGTGTGGGACACTTGAAAAGGCATACTTTGATGTTACCAAACTATATGAAACAAACCATTTGTGATCATAAAACCACTCTCTTTAATGAGCATTTGTATATTTTATATGCAGTTAGTGCTCAGCTTATGTTTACCATGTTCAAATCAACTATCTTTAATGATTTAAAATTAACTTTTACAAACAATTCTGAATACAGGTGGTCTTCAAGTAGTAAAACCACAAAAAGGCAGTTTTCTATCTATGGTCATCTTTTCTCCCTTTAATTTTATATAAAGAAGACTTCAAAAGTAAATCACATTTTTCAGGTGCAGACATCCTTATGGGAGGGAAAGAATTTAAACCTTTTTTATATTTATTAAAATGTTCTAAGAATTTTCTTAAACATTGCACAAAATTTAATGCTGCAGTTTTATTTTTGTGAAATGTAGGTACGCATATAAGAGTTAAGCAAAATAGAAGAGCATCAACATAAGAAAAGTTCAGGTATCTAATATTCGTCTTAATAGTCTATTAACTTGTGAAAGCTGGTTAATGGAAATATTATTCCAAATCTTTGAGAACACTTAATGGTGTATCAGGGCAAAGTTTGTAAGATGTTTTTGTAACTAAGACCAAATTGAAGATAGAGCTGCTTTATTTTCTTGGTTTAAATCTTCCTTTATTTTTGTAGTGATGAAATGCTGATTGTGTACAGAAGAATTTAAGAATGGATTTTTTTAAAACAGATTTAACTCACTCACCCAGAAAGGCAGCTAACAGTCATATATATATATATAAAATTCCAGCCCAAACTCATGTTTTTGAACTCTTAACTCTTAAAAGACAACAAGGTATAAACTGAACTGAATCAACTTTCCAGGCTGTTTCCAATTTTTTCCCTGGTCTGCTAAACTTTCATAACTATACGTCAGGCAGGGAAGTACAATACATTTAGTTACAGGCAAACGTGTGTTATGGAAAACAATATTGTAAACAACAATGTACTTCTAAAGAGCACAAGGGCAGTGGTCACTCAGATGTCACATTGAATTATATGAGAGAAACCATTTAGAAGATTTTCCTAGCATCATAAATTGTTCTATAGAGTGGATGAAGTCTCTGAAACGTCCTCTTCATATATTTCCATTTACAAGCATCTCGTATTTTGAAAGTGATCACAGCATGAAAATGACTGTGCTGCTTTTTAGTGTCTGGCTGCATAATGTACAAGTCACAATTCGCTGTTTTTTTAGAAGGAGGAAGGGCCCCTCCTTTCCTATTCTATATCCTAAAATCTTCTAATCAGCTTTATACTGTTGCCTGTACAGCTCAGTGAATGTACTTACATCTTTAAGAGTTCAGATATATGCCAGTGAATATTTTTGCTGTAGAGGAGAAAGTAAAACTCCACAGCGGGGAGCTTTTTCTTTGCTTTTGAAACCACCATTTAATCACTATCGTTTTGCAGACTTTGCACAACTGTACAGGAGTGGCCTTTCTACAGCACATTTTCAGTAATCCTATATTTAGTCAAAATGGATGAGAAATCATGTATTAATGTTTGTATGGAATTTTGGGTCCAGTGTAATATTTTTATCATTTAAAAAAACTATTTGTAAAAACATTTATTTACTGCATGGATATTAACGCACATTAAATTTGTGGGATTTTGTATATGTAAAGCAAAACAAAACAAAAACCTCTTGTCCTAAATTGAAGTGTGCTCATTACAGGTGTTTAGACTTATTGATGTTTACTAGACCAAATGTGTATGTTCACTTAAAAATATTTGTACCTGATGGGTGTGTCATGTATATAGTGGCCAGGTTGTGGCCTGTGGACAGCAGGCATTTGATGGGAAGACTAGCTGTGTTGCTACTAAGCAGCTTCTACTTTTGTAAAGTCAGCTTTGTTGTTTTAAATGGTAAAAATTAAAACTAATGAGTTTTACAAGACTTGTGGCTAGCCCAGCATGGAAGAGAACTTTTACCACTATATATCTGTACAATTTAGTTCATTAGTTTCAAATCTAGGAGAGAGGCAGCACTGTAAACCGAAGTCAAATAAATTCAGCTCTTAATGAATCCTTATAAAGCACCTACTTTATTCACGCAAAGTCCTTACCACATTTCTTTGTGATGTAATCACAATACCATCACTCCAGTTATGAGTTCTAACATTGCCAGAAGCAGCACCTGTTCAGACGTTACAAGTATCCTCTCTGAGACCTTGAAAAGGCAAGCTTGTTTCTCACATACCTGTCACAAACCTGAAACTTCACCTCTTCTCTCCTTTCTCTGTGATTCTTTTGGGGAAGTGGCAGGGGGGCACCACCAAAAATAAGCTATTTTTAAAAAAAATATATATATAGCCTATTGTGGCTACTGAAATATGACTTTAAACCAGAGTTGCCTAAAGCCAGCACAAAAGCAGATGAGGAGGGGGGCCAGGGACACAATGTAACCCAGGATACGTTCTCCAAGAAAGTGCTTTTTTTAGGAATGTTTTTTCTATAGTGCCATATTACTGTAGCTATGTCTCTGAACCATAAATTTACTGTTCTTACAAATACTTCATGCTATTTAACCAAGATACTTTGCCCTTCTCTATTTGGACAACGCCATCTTCTAGTACTCTTTGTTACACAGACTATAAACGGTAATTTTGTGAGGTTTGATGAAGTCTTTTGCCGTTTTTGGCCTTTCTGGGGGTGCGTAAAAGTAATCATTAATTGGCACCTAGGGAAGCATTTCTTAAGAGGGGAAATAAGGTCATATTTATTTCCGAAAGGTGAGCGTCTAGCCCAGCGTGCGTCTCTAAAACTCACTAGCTTGCTGAAGCTGACTCATAAATCTTTCTATTTGACCTCTCCTGTCTCCATTCTCAGCTCAAGAGGAACTGTTTGTCTTTGGCCAAGACCTCATTTGCCTCCTGAGCCTCCTGATGTCCTTCTGCTACCAGAATCCCACAGTTTAAAAAAGCCCATCTGTTGCTCTCTAAGCCTAGTCAGGCAGAACTTCCTCCTCTGTCCAGAAACTGGACTGGCCATTCAACCTAAAACCAAATCCAACACCTTGACAGGCTCTTCCCCCCTCTCCTCATCCTCACGCTCAGCCAGCTGCAGCACCGCGCACTGCAGACCATCCCAGGCCCAGGGCAGAGCACAGCTGATGTCCTCCCAGCGGTCTAGGTCGAGGTCGTAGCCCACCACGTTACGGGTGGGTACCTGACGTGAGTCCCGCCACTTGAGGCCACCCAACAGCAGCACAGTCTCCTCCACCACGGCCAGCCCATAACAGAAGCGGTCATAGGGTAGTGGCCGCAACCGAGTCCACTGGTCTGTGCCAGGGTCGTAGCGCTCAATCTCAGAGAAAGGCTCATATCTTCCCAGAAAGGCAAACACGGCACCCCGCAGCACTGCTAGGTGGTGCCCAAAGCGGGCGATGCTCATAGGTGCCCTCTTGCTCCACTCCTGCTCCCCAGGGCCTAGAGCATACAAGTCACGGAGGCTGCTCGCTCCACCCTCACCTCTCCCGGCCTTGCCCCCAGAGATGTACACGACGCCGCGGTCCCCGACGGCCCCAGCGTGGCCATGCAAGGCCCTCGGCAGCTCCGTGGCTGCTGTCCAGCGGTCCCTGCGCAGGTCGTACATTTCCACCGAGGCCAGCGCCTCGCCGCTGGTGCCCAGGCCCCCTACGGCTAGGAGAGTCTCGCCTACCACGCCGCACCAGAAGTAGGCTCGCGCTTCTCTCATGGCAGGCACCGCTGTCCAAGCTTGGAAGCGAGGGTCATAGCGGTGCACTTGAGCCGTCACCAGCCGCGGCTCGTCAGCCAGGGGAGTGGAGGCACTCCCCGAAGGGGTCTCCCCGCCCAGCACAAACAAGAAGTTGCCCATAGTACACACGCTGTGTCCCAACAGCGGCGCTGGCAGCTGTGTAAGGCTGTGCCAGCGGTGATTGTATACGTCGAAGGCTACCACATCCTGGGTGAGCTCCCACTCCTTTTCTTCCTCCGCTTCTATTTCTTCCTCCTCTTCCTCCTCCTCCTCCGGCTCAGCCATGGCGCCCCTGTCCCTGGCTGCCACTTGAGGAGCCACGACCTCTTCAGTCAGGGCTTCCTGGGCTCTGCGTCCCCCAACCAACAAGATGCGGGTCTGGGGACTCCGGATGCTGGTTTGTACCCCCTGCAACAGCGGTTGACGGGAGGGTGCCGTGTGGTAGTTGAGGGCTTGGATGATGAGGCCCTTGACCCGGAGGGGCAGTGTAAAGCCAGAGCCGGAATACACGCGCCGCAGCACGTCGGCAGGCACCAGGCCGAAGCGGATACATTCTAGCAGCGCTGAGCTGTGCTCCTGGCGTTCAGCTGTGGGCTCCTGCCGCAGCCAGGCCAGCGCCAGGCCCAGCAGCTGGGCCTCGGGCACGTGCGCCACGTCGGGGGCCCCCAACACGGCCCTCAGGGACATCGGATTGAGTTCCAGTAGCCCCGCGGGGCCTGCACCCACCCACAGCAGATCGCGAAGGTGGCGCACCACGCAGCGCTCGGCCACGCCCAGCGTGTGCGCCAGGCCGAAGCGTGCTGCCACGTTAGCGGTGAAACAGCAATTTTCTAGGGCCAGTTGGCGCTCCAGGTAGCAGCCGCACAAACCCAGGGCGTCGGTGACCTGCAGATAGCTAGCAGCCTCCAGAGTGTCCTCCACGGTGTCCATGGAGAGCGGCAGCCAGGCAGTGTAGATGAAGTCCAACAGGCGCTGCAGGCCGGCCGCCGACGGCACGTGCAGGTGGATCACGCGCGCCCGGGATTCCTGCGTGTGACTCTTGAACAGGGCTCTGAAGTAGTCACTGGAGCACGCCAGGAGCGACTTGTGCGCCGGGAACTCGCTGCCCTCAGCCTCCAGTGTCACGTCGCATAAGAAGCCCTCAGCACGCAGGGCCTGGTAGCCGGTGAGCAGAGCACCGCTGTGAGCTTTGCAGTAAGACAGGAAGTAACTCATGATGCCCAGGGCGGGAAGCGGCCAGGCGGGGAATGGATCCAGCCGGGCGCAGACGGAGGCATCCCGGGACACGGAACCGCCAAGACCCTTGCGCGACCCTTTTCAATTTAAAGCCCAGGGCACCTTCACCTGGGTCCACCAGTCGCAACGTGCCGCACTCGGAGAAAATCTGGTCCGGGAACGGGTGCCAAAAGCTCCTAGCAGCAGAGGGTGAGGAATGTGGAGTCCTCTGGGAGTTGCTGGGCTTGGTTTCAGCCGCTGCGGAGACTGCCAGCGCGTTACCCAAAGCCCCCTCCCCGGCCCAATTTGGGGAGCCCACACCTACGCGCCAGGGGCGGCGGTGGCCGCGCAGCATCACCTGGAAGGCCCGAGCTGCCGGTGGACAGCGTGGATGCTGGATCTCCGACGGCCCAAACGTGCGGATGCGGCCCTGACTCCAGGCGTCAGGAGTGCGGGAGAGGGCTCTGCTCTTCTGGGGGTGGACGAGGAGGACAGGTTCTCTGAGCACCCTTGAGGTCCGGGGACAAAGTGACTACGGGGCAGGAGGGGTGAGCTTGTTCCACGCAGAGGATCAAATCAAAGCTTGGGGGATTAGGAACGGAGGGGGGGCGCAGGTCAGTGCGGCGTGTTGGAGACTTGATTGGGCGCTGCACATAACATGCCGGTAGCTCACAGAGACAGGAATAGCGCGCCGCCTAGGCCTCCGGGACGCGCCCCGCCCCGCGCCCCGACTGCTGGCTGAGAACCAAAGACCCGGGCCGGGGAGGAAGTGGCCCGGGCCAGCGGCCTGGCTCTGAGACCCGACTGGCGGCCAATCGCGGGGGGCGGGTGGGGTCCCTGGTATCTGGAGCAGTTTGAGAGTAGAGAAGCAAATGACCTTGGTTGGCGCGAGTCCCTGGGGACCCTCGGCCTAGCAGTGTCCAAGGAAGGTTGCCCCGCTGGGCTGGAAGAGTGTCGACCTCCTGATGCCCCTGTGCCTGGGAAAAAAGTCCTTGGCTCCTCCTTCTGCTTTGAAGAGACCCTAATTAGCTGGGAGTCAGCGGGATTAAGCAGTGACTTTGCGCGCTGACACCCAGGAGGCCGCTCTGTGCAAAGGAGAAGCTGGCGAGAGCCACGCCCAGGCCAATCGGGCTCCCCGCGGGGGGCGCTGGGTAACACGCCCCTCACCTGCACTCGCGCGCGAGACCCCGGGCCTCCTCTGTACCCTTCCCTAGGCAGGTGGTGTCCCCCAGGCTGCTTTGTTTCACATTATGCATTTGGGAATTTGTTCCCACCCCAGCTTTCCCACCCCAGCTGAATTCTTTCCTGTTCTTGTACCCGCCTCAACCCACCCCTTTGCAGTATGGACAAGGAAATTGTAGCAAACTTGAATTTTGTGTCTTGGAACGGCCACGTCCTTTAAAAATATAATTTGCTCTAGTTTTCTCTCTCTGATTTTCCTCGGTGTGATCTAATTACTGGCTGCTGCAGCCTCAATGCCATAAAGAGATAATGGTTAGCAAGGTTGCAAAGCTCAGTAGAACTGGAGTGTAGTAGGGTCCCTCCTCATTAAGTTATTTTTATAAGAACTACCCAGTACAAAAATGACTAAAACTCCCCCATGCTAAAAAATTAGAAAAGCTTCTGTCCATCTCCTGCATCCTGCTCTTAAATAACTAAACAAATAATATAATTGTTCTATCTTGCCGATTTGGAGGCTTCTGTGTGCTTTATTTTCATCTAGAAATGATCTTTCTGTTTTCCTAATGTAACCTTTGTGGTAGCCTCTTTTAGGTGAGCCTTTGGAGGACATCTGAAATAACTTGTATTTCTGACAGTTTTATTTCAGAGGGCGCAGGGTGCAAGGAAGGGTAAAATGTTGCCATTTCCTACTTGGGGTACCTTCAACACTTGCAAGGTCTGCAGTTAGAAGTAATTCTTTAAATGCGCAAAGATATTAGTAAAATAATTTTGCTGTCAAAGATGGAACTGCAAATTGCCAAATTATAAAGTGTTGGAAGGAGCTAGGGTTGGGCTTCCTTAAATTCCAGATGCTAAAAATGCTCTAATATGAATTGCCAGTGTTAGAGCTGCAGGTGGGTTCAGAGAGAGTACTGTTTTCTGTGGAGATTCGGGGGAGGAGGGTCAGTGTTAAAATTCTTAGTTCAAAAGTAAAATATCACTGCGGTTCAATATGCAGATTTACATTTTCAATTTAAATGGCCTTTACTCACCCTAATTGAATTTTACTAGAAAGGATTTCTTAGATCATTTAGGCAAGCTTTGTCCTTTTCCTCCAAAATCTCCTGTTTTTCTTTTTAAATAAGAAAAATGAGCTCAGAGAGAATATGATTTGTCTGGATGACTTGGATATTGTGTTACGGAGTCCGGAAGAGAATCCAGGGCTCCTTCCCCACTATATTATGTGACCTTGTGTATGACAAAAATAAAATAGTGTGACACACAGTTTATTTAAACCAAATATTCAGAGTGATAAAGTATTTTATCAGCTTATTAACCCAAAACCATGTAGGTCTGTTTTTTCTTAAACAGCATATTTTTACTGAGAAACTGGATTACATCCCATCAGAGCTGTCAATCACTGGGCATGCAGGTTAAATCCAAAAAGTCACACTTAAGAAAAGTTTAAACTATATATATATATATATAGTTTATATATATAGTCTATATATATATATATATATTATACAATGAGTATTTGTTTATATTTGTTTATTCCTGCCATGCTAGCCTACCATGTTTTCCCAGTGAGTATATGATGTTGTATTAACTGAAGACAGTTTTATATTAGATGTGTTTATAAGGCCTCATTTAGAAACATAACTGTCAATCCAGGAAAATCATGGTCATTTGGATAATGTATATGTATTGTGAGTATTTTCATTTTTGTGCAATATTAACTATATTAAATAAAATGTCAGTGTATGTTTAAACTGTGATGTGTTAAATTGATGTTTCAGTCTATTTAAGCTGCTATAATGAAACACCTTCGGGGAAGGTAATTTATAAGCAGCAAGAGTTTATTGCTCACCATTCCAGAAGCTCAGGGTCCAAGAACAAGAAACTAGCCAATTCTGTCTGGTGAGGGCTCTCATTTCTTAGATGGCACCTTCTTGCTGTGTCCTCACATACAGTGAGAATTTAATAAGCTCCTTTCGGTCTCTTACGTAAGGGCTTAAAACCCATCTATGATGGCATAGCCTCCGTTACATAATCACTTCCCAGGGGCCACACTTCTTAGCACTATCACATTGGGCTTAATTTTCAACAGAATTTTAGAAGGACACATACATTTAGACCATTAACCTTTTTTTTTTTTTTTTTTTTTTTTTTTTTTTTTTTTTTTTTTATTTTAAGGATAAAAGGAGGGAAACATTAACAGACATACAACATTTTACAACATATCACAAGCACAATACAGACAATACAGAGTTACAAACAAAGTGGTAGGGAATTAACTATGGTGGTTGTATTACATATTGATATCTTCAAAGTGGCTTCTCATGAAAACAGATATAGACATGCAATACTGTAGACCATTAACCTTTAACAGTTGGGTTTTCTGAAGACATGCCCCGCAACCCAAACTGAACACACAGCAATAGGCCGATCTGACAGGACGTGGTCACTACATCAAAAATGAGTCCTCCCCCTTTAGATTAACAACTCCTCCAGGGCAGAAACTATTTGTTCCCTTTTGAATCTGCAGAGCTTGTCATAGTCTTTCCCATAAGTATGTAGAGTTGAACAGATACAGGGAGGAAGCAAGGGGTTATTGAAAGGAACAGGACTGGAACAATTACTTCCTTCACTCTTGTTCTCCTTCCCTTCACACAGCTGGGAAGGCTGTGGGCTGACATTCCTAGGAATCAAGTGTGTAACCACGGGAGGCCCCCTGCAGAGGCTGGGTGGCCTTGGCTTTTCTGAGAAGGCTATATTATATTACCTCCTGCCCCCTCAGTGCCGCCCTACTGCTCCAGGTCTGTAACCAAACTAGTCCTCCATGGCTTGTGCATCCCGTAAAATATACTGCTACTCTCCCGCCCAGACGCAAAGTCCTAAGAACCCCAAAAGCAGCCCTTGATCCACTTTGCGTGGTTGGACTTCCGCTGAAGGTCCAGCTCCTCACCCCAGCACACCGATTGAAATGCTGCAATTTTCTCTAAACTTCCTGTCCCTTATGAGAATTATGATCTGCTGTCACCAGTCCCTTCCATACATGTGCACCTCTATGACAGTACCTAGAGTTAAACACTGCAAGCGCTCATCAAGGAAGCGATGCTAGTCCACCAGAGCACTCCATTTCCCCTGACTTGACCTGCCCTAACAAAGTCTAAATGCCACAGGTCTCACATCTAAAGAGATCATACATTTTTTAATCCCCAAATCATAAACTTCCATGTAGGATCGGCACTTCATTTTTTACAAATGTAACGTGATCTTTTGGGTAACAGCTTTGAGATCCATTTGCCATATAATTCATCCATGTTAAATTTATAGCTCAGGTTCTTAGTATATTCCCAGAGTTGTGCAACCATCACTGCAGTCTAATTTTAGAATATTTTATCACCTCAGAACATACTCATCGCCTATCGTCCTCCTGTACCACTAGCACCTCAAGCCCTAAGCAACCACTAATCCACTCTCCATATCTATAGATTCTGGACATTAGACATATTATATAATATATATTATATACACATTATATATATATATGAAATAAAATGTGATCTTTTGTGACTGATTTTTTCACTTACATTTTTAAGATTCATCCATTGTAATGCACTTTGAGGAAGAAAAACACTAATGATAATATAGGGAATCTTTTCAAAACCGCAAAACTCTAACTTTGACCTTTTGGATATTTCAGATGCTGTTTTTTGGCAAGTTAGCTTTTTCTCATCTATCATTACTTCTCCTTTCAACCCAAATATGCTTCCATCTAGCACATGGCTTCTGGCAACCTCCATGGAGAGCCTATTATTAGAAATTAACACATTAATTTTATTTTGAAAA